TCCAACCACACCCTCTCATAATAGTTTGCATAAAATTTCACCAGTTGTGGTAGTGCTGTATTCATTTGGAATGCCTCATGTTCCTGTCAAAAACCTTTCTGTTCCATGATCACCAGTCTTCCTTAATGGTTTTTGGTGACTGATGTATATCAAAGGCTGCAAAGCCCACATAAATTATGCCCACCAGCTCACCCTTGCCCACTATATTAATTCTTCTGGGGACTTCTGACAGACTAGAGACGCAGAGCTCACTCCAGAAATATGATTCTCTTCAGTTCCTTGGCCATGTTCAATATTTTAGGCTGACATTTCAGAGAGCCCTCCTGGAATAAGCCAAGGTTCAGTTCACATTTAGAAAAGCCAAGCCATTGCCTCAGAGTGGCATGCATCCAGATGTTCTGAAAATATTCATTACTGATGACGGCACATTCCTGTCACATATAACTCAACTCTCTTTATCCTCAGCTGTTTTTCTTGATGTTGTAATAAGGCCCCATTTTGATCTCTGTTACACATAACAGAGGCTCAAATGGCTACAGAGATCAAAATGGCTACCATGCCATCCTCTTTAGATCACCAGAAAAACAGGTGTTGGTGATAAATTACATATTTATTAGTAGCTCTAAACACCATTCATCAGTTCCTCCAAGAAAATGAAAGCAATCAGCTCCTGAGATTTTTAACACACTAGTGTTGCTCCTCACTGAGGTCTCTGGTCTTCCCTGACTAGTCCTCTTCCTTTTCTGTGTATTCTGCCTTTTGAGGGGAATCAAATACACACACCAACCCAAGTATAAATCTCTGGGTTCTTCTCTAGCTCTTACCTATAATCTTCTCTTAATTTATACCTATAAATCTGTACCCTGATTAATTCAGGGGCAAAGAGAACTCCACAATTGATAAGCATAAGGCCCTGTGTTCAATTTTTCATTAAAGTCAAAAGGAGTCTTCAGGCCAACAGTGACACCTATACAAATATACTGCAGTAAGGAAATCTGATATATAGTGATTTGATGCATAACAACATTTTGGTCAACTATGGACTACATATTTGACAGTGGTCCCACTAGATTATAATAGAGCTGAGAAACTACCCTAATGACATCCTAGCCATTGTGATATAACACAAATCATTACACACGTGTTGGTGGTGATGTTAGTGTAAACAAACCTGAACTACCAGCTGTATGAAAGTATAGCACATATATATAGAATACTTGATAATGATAATAAACAACTGTTACTATTTATGTATTTACTCCACTACACTTTTTCTAATTCTTTTAGAGTACACTGTTTCTATTTATTTAAGGAAAAAAAAAAAAAAAAGGCGGGGGCTCAGCACCTGTGGCTCAAGTGGCTAAGGTGCCAGCCACATACACCTGAGCTGGCAGGTTCAAATCCAGCCTGGGCGCGCCAAACAACAGCTGCAACCAAAAAATAATGGGCGTTGTGGCAAGCACCTTGGGAGGTGGAGGCAGGAGAATTGCTTGAACCCAGGAGTTGGAGATTGCTGTGAACTGTGATGCCACAGTACTCTACCCAGGGTGACAGCTTGAGGCTTATAAAAATAAAAATAAAGTAACTGTAGGCCAGGCATGGTGACTCATATCTATAATGCTAGCACTCTGGGAGGTCAAAGCACATGGATCGCTTGACCTCAGGAGTTTGAGACCAGTCTGAAAAAGAGCAAGACCCCATCTCTACTAGAAATAGAAAAATTTGGCTCGGTGCCTATGGCTCAAGTGGCTAAGGCGCCAGCCATGTACACCCAAGGTGGCAGGGTTCGAATTCAGCCCAGGCCCGCCAAACAACAATGACGGCTGCAACCAAAAACTAGCCGGGCGCTGTGGCGGGTGCCTGTGGTCCCAGCTACTTGGGAGGCTGAGGCAGTAGACTCGCTTGAGCCCAGGAGTTAGAGGTTGCTATGAGCTGTGATGCCACAGCACTCTACCCAGGAGGAAAGCTTGAGGCT